TTTGGTCAATGACATGAGACAAAGTATATGTGAACTGCTGTATGAAAAGTGAATTTACTCTGTAAATCTTCACCCAAATCCTAAAAAAAAAAAATAGATATGATGCATTGAACATCAATGAATGAATACCAGACCAGTTGTGGCGTGACATCAAGAACATCATATATAAAGAAAGCAAAGGTCATTAAAAAGACAGGAAAGAAAGAAAAGAAGAAAATGAATGTCAGAAGAGACTCAAAAACTTGCTCTTGAATGTAAAGTAGCTGAAGTGAATGGAAAATATGACGTAGAAGAACTAAACAGATGATTTCAAAGGGCGGCTCAAGAAGATAAAGTGTTATAATGAAATGTGCAAAGACCTGAAGTTAGAAAATCAAAAAGGAAAAACACACTCAGCATTTCTCAAGCTGAAAGAATTGAAGAAAAAATTCAAGCCTTGAGTTACAATACTGAAGGCGCTCTGGTAGAAGAGTGCCTAAGGCATTTGACTGCTAACCGGAAGGCTGATGGTTCAAACCCACCAGCCACTCCTCAGAAGGAAGGTTGGGCAATCTACTTCCATAGTGATACTGTCTTGGAAACCCAAGGAGGGGTCGCTGTGAGTTGGTTCCAACTCAATGGCACATAACAACATGGGCAAAATACTGAACAATTCAGGAAGCATCAAAAGAAGATGGAAGATAGGTACAGAAGTATGGATAGGCAAACGGGAAGATACCCACGACCATATATAAATTTGGCAGATGACATTCCCGTATATGTATTTATTTCCATGTGCTATAAAAATATCCATATGCAGTTTAAACATAAAGGAAGCAAAGTTAGGATAGCTTCTTAGCCACAAATAAGCACCTTGATGGAATAGGTCGCTGGGCCTGTGGGCTGGGCACTATGGTCTCAGCAGGGGGGACATCAAGCTCAACTGGCACAACGTGCTATATAAAAATATTGTTCTACATCTTACTTCAATGAGCAGCAACTAGGCAAGTGGCCATCTAAGTGGCAACTATTTGTCTCTCCTCATCCTGAGCAAAAAAGAGTGAAGAGAATCAAAGACTCATGGAAACCTGAGGACTACTGGACCATGAGAACCTCAACCTATATTACCCAAAGATCAGAAGAACTAGATGGTACCCAGCTGCCAATGCCAAGCACTCAGAAAGGGATCAAAATTGGAGATCCTGTATAGAGTGGGAAAAAAGGTATGGAAAAAAAACACAACATCATAGAAAAGACTAGACTTAATGGTCTGATACAGACTTGTAAACGCCCCAAGACTATGGCCACAAGTCACCCTTCTGGCCTGGAATCAATCTCACTCCTGTGGCTTAACTCTCAGCCAGAAAACAGACAGGCCTATGAGCTGAACACTTGCATCAGGGAGTTACACTCCTTAGAACAATCAATCTTGGAGATCAGAAGGGCAGCATTTGTACAGGGAGAAATTAAGGGAGGCAGAAATGCACAAGCAAGAAGGCCACAGGGAAAGGGTAACCACGGGATTAAAAAAAAAAAAAAAAAATGGATGGAAGGAATGCATAGAGTCACTAACAAAAAGAATTGGTCAATTTTCAGCCATTTCAAGAGGTAGCATATGATCAAGAACTGATGGTATCGAAAGAAGTCTGAGCTGCACTGAAGGCACTGGTGAAAAACAAGGCTCTGGGAATTGACAGACTAACCACTGAGATGTTTCAACAAATGGAACATTTGAACACTGAAAGTGCTGACCTATATGATGAAGAATGTGGCATCAGGATTGGAGGAAGAGTCATTAACAACCTGCAATATGCAGATGACACAACCTTGCTTGTTGAAAGCAAAGAGGACTTGAAGCATTTACTGATTAAGATCAAAGACTACAGCCTTCAGTATGGATCACCCCTCAACATGAAGAAAACAGAAGTCCTCACAACTGGACCAATAAGCAACATCATGATAAACACAGAAAAGACTGAAGCTGTTAAGGATTTCATTTTACTTGGATCCACAATCAATACCCCTGGATGCAGCAGTCAAGAAATCAAATGACATACTGCACTGGGCAAATCTACTGCAGAAGACCTCTTTAAAGTGTTCAAAAGATATCACTTTGAGGAGTAAGGTCCACCTGACCCAAGCTGTGGTATTTTCAATCACCTCATA